TATATATATATATATATGGATGTTTTTTTCGTTTTTTTTAATTTAAAATAATTTTAAAACTCCAATTTGAAACTATTCCCCAATTTGAATTGGTACTTCATTATTTTTTTTAATTTTGTTTTTTTATTTTAAAGTTATTTTAAAACTCCAACTTGAAACTACTTCTCGATTTGAATGGGCAATTTTTCTTCTCTTTTTTCGTTTTTTTATAGGTTAATTTTTTTTTGTTTTTTATTTTAAAATAATTTAAAAACTTTAACTTGAAACTACTCCCACCCAATTTGAATGGGTAGTTATTTTTTATATATTTATTTTTTGTTGTTTTTTTATTATATTTAATTATAAGATATCTATATTTATTAATCCAAATAAAGTAACCAATTAATATATATATATATATATATGGTAATTTTTTATTGCATTTTATTATTTTCTTTTTTGATATGTATTTAAATTCAAAAATAAGTAACCAATAACTAATTATAAACTAAATAACTAATTAGTAACCAATTATGCCATGTGGTATTTTTTTAGGCTACCACTTGGCTTAAGGAAATGACTTTTTCCTCTTCTTTTAATAATATATAGATATAGATAAAGCTTTATTACTTGGCAAACTCTGTTGTAATGCCAATGTGGCAATATGATACTAATCAACTTCCAGAAACACCCCTTGTGGCTCGCCACTTCGCAACGGGTTATTTTGATTTCCCGTAAAAAACAATTGTCTATCACGCTTTCGGTTGTTATTATATTTACGCTTTTGCCCATTTTCTGTTTTCCTCTATTTTCTGTTATTTTATTTATTTAATAATAGTTCTGTTATGGCATGTGTTACAAGTATGCATCACGTCTTAAAGTGTAGTAAATAGTATCTTAGAAATTCCATAGAAAATGATCGAAAAGAAAGGTGCAGCACAGCGCAAACCATGTGATTTGGAATCCCACACGTACACCATTACGCGGAGGAATTGTTTTCATTTTAGAACAACCTGGGCCATGTTTAAATCTGAGCGCTTTATTCTGAGGGAATAATACAATTAATCATTGAGAAATCACAAAAATTTTAAAATTTCACTTAACTTTGCCTAAGTTATTTTGAATGGCCATCCATGAAAGTAATCCCCTTACTATTGCAGAACTTTAGAAAATGGATTTAGAAGAATTAAAACTGTCTTAGATTAGCTGGGGCAGAGCTACAGTTATGCAGAGATATCCAGAATTTTAAAATCATGGGTGCACCACTATGCTTATCATAATATCAAGTGATGTGATTTTCTTTAGTGTTTTATGACATAGTATTAAGTTTT